CTGGCCCCAACCCCAAAGTATACTGTAAAATGAGGGGGGGTGACCCCGCATGGAAACGTGAAGGGGGATCATCTCATTCAGCAGTCGCAATCAACACGATCGAGTATGAAGAATGGTGCGACAAGTGTATTACAGACCTCGGAAGAATGCCGTAAAAGACTTGACGGCACGACACGCTCGTATTGGACGACTGCCGAAAGCCAAAGCACACGAGGGAGTCATGTACAGTGCCAAGTTTTGCATCATGTGTAGCCTTTTTGTTCGAGGTCCCTGGGCGTTATCGGTGCAAACTCTTTCTCGCCTCGCCATGCTGTTTGAGGATGAAGCTAAGCGGGCTCTTCGCCTCACCATGGATATTGCTGAAAGAAGCATCGATGCTATGTTTGCCGCTCGCACCGCCCCCAGCTCCTCCCGTCCACCGCTTGTCAGGCGCAGGACGGCACGTGAACTCGGGCCCACACCCACTATGGAGAATCGTGGGCGTTCACGCAGCCGATCACATGGTAGGATGGTCCAGAGCCGTCGACCTGGATATCAGGTACCAACAGACCGTCCCAGGGCGGCACCCGTCCAACACGTGGGGCTGAGCATGACTCGCGGGGGACTCACGCACAGCCCGCCGCCGCCGGCCCTCTCACCCTGTTTCCCCTCGCCCGGCCTCCCGCCCTTCCCAGCCAGCGGCGTTCGTTTGGGGGAGGCGCTGTAACGGCTGATTGTGCCCACAATCCTCCCCCCCATGCCGGGGTCGCGTCCTATTCCCAGTCTGACGGTGACTTTCCCGGCCGGATTTCATATTGGTGGCCTTGCAACCCCGCCCTTCCCAGCGGCTGTGGAAACTATGCTGAGTACGTTAGCTTCTCGTTCCTCTACCTTCCAGTCTTTGCAGCCTCTACACCAGTTTGTCCCTGCGAACGCGAGGCGCCGTGTAACTGCATATCTGCTGAGCCATCCGCAGTTCCTGGATGCAGAGCTGGTAAAGCGCATTATGGAAGAATGGCGGGGCGACACTACTCCTGCCAACAGTGAGGGGGTGACTATCTCAACGTCCGTAGGGGACCTGCGCATCTCTCTGGCTTCGCGACTTGTCAGGCAGCTTGCCACGCCCAGTGCTACGGTTACGCCTTTCAGTGTTGAGTCGTCGAACGACCCAGCCCCTCCGTTTGGGGGCTTGCCTCCGTCTGCTCCCTCGGCTGAAGATGTTGGTTCTCTGCCCTTACCTGTGCCCTTGGTGAGTCGCGAGGAACCTCTTCGCCCTGTGCCGACTGAGGTCATGCCTTCGTCTGCTCCATTGGCTGAAGGTGTTAGTTCTTTGCCCTACCCGGTGTCCTTGGAGAGCCGCGAGGCTGGCAACGACCTGACCCCTGGTAGGGAGCAGCCGGGGGCATTGCCCAAAGTGGGAGAGGTTGGCGAGATCGTGGTGCAGTGCATTGATGACAACACATTCGATGCTATCATGGATGTGTTCAAAAACGAGCCCCACTACGAGGACATACAGGCGCAGGATGTCCTTAGCTTCATTCCGAAGGGCCTCATTTTGCACCCCATGAAGCTGGGATGGTTATCATGTCGTCACTGCAAGCAGAAAGGGTCGCAAAACCCGCTGGAATTCCCCAACTCTGGCGGGGTGATTAATCACTTCCGCAACCGTGGAGGAGCACACACACGCCTGTGGCGCAGGCAACACCGACCTCTTCGTCGACAACAGCACCGTCCCCACCTCCCTGGTTGCCTACGCAGTCAGCAAGCGAGACTGGCCAAATTGCGGATCAACCGCCGAAGGTGACGGTGTCTGCGGCTACCTTCCAGCTTCGACACAGCCTGGGCATGCCTCCCCTGCCTACCCAGAGCACTGGGTAGAGGTGCCCCCTGTCTCTACGACTCCTGCCAGCGCGGAGGTCTCGAGAACGGCAGGGCACATTGTGCAGCCTATCACGCAGCAGCAGGGCCCATTGGCCGGGGATGCGACGTCTACGACAATACCGGCGGACCAACTCAAGGTGGTCAAATACCGTGGCCCCATCGAAGTCACGGAGCTGCTGGGATATGAAGCTGGACCATCCATCCAGTCCAGAGACGCAGAAGTTCCAAAAAGGCAACGGATTGTGCAGGAATGTCAATCCGATGCCTTCTTCGAGTGGATGCACGCTCTGGCCACAATCCTGCTGTTCAACGAGTCGCTCATTCTGGGTGGCCTCAGGTCCACAGAACTGACGGAACTGTGGAATCGCCGCATCGCGACTCTCAGCAAAGTTCCGTGGATATTTGGGCCCCTCCTGCTCGTTCGCAACGTCACTCACAAAACCTCATGGATGGAGGCAATGACAGCCCGTCTGGTGGATGACGACAAGGGTCGCACAACGGTGTCCCTTTTAACGCCTGGCGGCTCGCAGAGCCTGGCTACGGTCACCACCTCCTTCGGGATACTGGGAGGTCTCTTCAGAAACATGTGGGACAGGGACGAGATGGCAGCACTCCTAGGGTCCTAGAATCGGATGACAATTTCGAGATTGTCGCGTCCACGGCCAAATCGATGTACGACCGTACTTGCCGTTCTTGCGATCTTATGAATCGCCTCATTATCTTGCAGCTGAAAGACGGCAAGGTTCAGCGGGCCATGAGGATCGAACACAGAGCTGGGGACACTGAAGCGAAGAAGAATTACCTCCACCAGCAGAAAAGATTGGCGGAGAAATCCGCAGCCCCAGCTGACAAACGACATCGGGATGGCCAAGACTGGAGGGAGCCACAATGGCGGCAGTCCGGCTGGTGGCACAACTACCATGACCAGGGCTCGTACGATGAAGACCGACAAGATCAGTCTTCGTCGTCGTGGCAGTGGAAGAAGAGGTAGTCGTCAAGAAGCTGGGGCCATTGGCCAAACGGTTTGGCCGTTCCCCAGGTATATCCTGGCCAGACAATTTTGAGGTAGTGCTTGCTGTGCAGGACACTTCTATGCGTTTTTTGGTCTAACACTGACCCGCCTCATTCAGATACGAGCACGGAAAAGATCTTGTGCAGAGGCTCACACGCAGTGCTCAAGGCACAGGCTTAACAAGGTGTGGCACGGTGCTACCTCCAGGTACTCTGTTCGAGCCGAACCACTCGTCATCTGACCGTGGTCCTGTCACGTGGAGATCCTGCGAACCCCTCAAGTGCCTGTCGGTCCACCCGGATACGGGGCAGCCATAGCAGGCACTCCTGCTTGGTGGAGGTGGCG